TACAAATTTTCTATTTAAATATTATTTTTAAACCATGAGTTGATTCTCTATGAGTTGATTTTATGTGTGACCAACGACTTCAATTTTACTTTACATATTCACCTAATTTTTTACCTCATACGATGTATATCAAATTATGAGGCTAACCTTGTTAATCTAAGCATATATATAAATCTCAACAAACTTTTTACTTGTTTGTTAATGAATCGTGAGTACAATCAATGAATTTACTTTAACTGCTTACCACCAAGTAGGCCGTATACTTGTATGCCACCTTAGAGTTATAAAAAAAATAGTAAAAATTAATTTGAGAAATTTGTAAGCGTCATCGATTTTTGATGCTGACTGTACACCTTCGAAGAATGTAGAAGGGATTATTGTGTACACGACATAATGTAAAATAACTGTACCTTACTATATATATATATATATATATATATATATATATATATATATATATATATATATATATATATATATATATATATATATATATATATATATATATATATATTGTTAATGACTACAATATACATGCTATTTGAAAAAACGCTTATTCTTATTCTTTCATAATTAGTTTACCAGAATTTAACTACGATGAATTCTAGAGAGACTAAATGATGTAAAATCAATTGTTTCCCCTCAAACTTTATTATAATTGTAACTGGTGCAATAAATTGTAAATGAATCAACGAATGAACGTAGGAACAAATAAACAGATCCTATTAATATAATGAATGTAAAAGTTTATAACGACGGATGTTTGTTACTCTGTCACGGTTCAACTACTGAATACATTTGAATGAAATTTGGTGAATAGGTTTTCTTTATATCGGTCTCAGCTCAAGTAGCTTTCCATTTGTCAACGTAGAAACGTTAGGACTCTTTGTACCGTCTACGCTCTTCTTCGAAACCCCCAGTCTTCTAACTACTTAAGCAGTAAATTCCAGTATCTTTTTGAAACTCACGAACGTAACCTTCGTTCCAATAATACTTTCCTATTATCTTTCCTCTCTCATCGTACTGGTTACGCTTCAAACTCTTTTTTCCTATATTCTTCACGTCTCTGGAAGGCGCTTCCTGATGCCATTTAGAGACTACCGACTAAACCGTCTTTCAAAAAAAAGTTCACGCTCACTTTTTTACTTTATCCGAGCAATAAGTGCTTTATATTATTCTCAAGTTCGTGTATAATATAGTATATGTCATATATGTGTAAATATATTTGTTATTCATATATATTTATTCGTTTATATATGTAATTTTAGTATGTATGTATATCAATAATTAGTAGTACCGCACTCGAGTATTCTGACACTTCCCTATGGTTGACTGGGAGAGAATGCTTTTAGCATTAAGTCCGCAATGTACACATATTTGTACTAATAAATAAATAAAAATAAATAGGTTGGCTATATCCTAACTTAGTACATAGGGTACTTTATGTACTGATTCATGTGGATGAAATCACAGGATCATCAACATGATGCTTTACTCTACACACACACAACTGCTTCACGGTAGAAACACAAATGGGTGAGAGGTACCTATGCAAACGACTTTTGTACAATTTCCCTCTGGTAAAGTGCCTTATTCCAGCCAATAAATGAATTCAAATACTAATTCTAACAAAGTACATTTGCCGAATGTTGCCGTAAGGTAACAAGTTGAGATTGTGGTTTATGCAAATGTATCGATGTATCTAAGAAACCATTACGCGCCCATGTAATGGTAGCGAAGTTAATTGGAGTGCAGCTATAATCTTGCAATTCGATCGCCATTTTTAATTGCATGTCTAAAATACTGCTGGATTATTTTTGGGATTGCCTGATCAGTAATGATCACTATGAAAATTCCTTTTTTTTATATTCCCTATGTACTTTTTATTTATTTATATTAATACCATTGTATCTTATGTTTGCGTGTTTTTATCAAATAATAAATATCTATTCTATGTACCAATGTTTTTATTATAATAGACTGTGTATTGTTAATCTTTGTCAGGTGTCAACGATACAGGTTCGCCTAGTGTGGAGGCCATTGTATCTTGGGTTTGTAACTTTGTGGTTTTATCAAATAATAAATTTCTATTCTATTTCTATTATTTTTACGCAACATGCTATAGCAATGCATTGCCGTGTGGTTCCGGTATAGAATAGGCCACCCCTTTTCCGTGGATGTCGTAAGAGCCGACTAAGAGAGGGCGAAAGATGGGCAGTAGCGTCCCTCTTAAAACATCTCCAAAGCCTAAGTACGGTTGCTAATCCGCCTGCCAAGCGTGGCAACTACTGGCAAAGATACAAAAACGGCTTCTATATAACAAATTATTTCAAACTACAAATAATTATAAAAGAATTCTTTAATCGGTTATTGAAGAGGATGTAACATGCAACTGGGTTGTAATTATTTGAATTATAACTTCCAATAAATAAAATGAATTAATTATCGTTTTCCTGTAAGCTGCGGTTGTAAGTACTCACCTTGCTAAAACCAATGCTGTCATGAGAAACCCAGAGTAGATTAAATACGTCCAGATGAAGTGTCTCAATATAAACGCTTTGTCAAAAACAGTTCAACTTTTTTATTCATGTATCTATGAATAGGAATACCAGTATATACAGTTATTATTCAATATGTAGGGGAAATATATATATTTTTTATACCACTGAGGTAGCAAGTACCTGATAGCAAGCGCTTGCCATAGCCTATGAACATCTGCAATACAAAGAACATTACGTGTGCGTTGTCAGTTGGAGAAACCTATGTTTGACTCTGAAAAAACCAATGCATAATGATTCATAGTTACTCTGAATGATACCTAAACAACGACATTAAAATCATATATATTATTTTAATTAATACCATGACAATGATAGTGTCCACCTGATTTGGAGAATTTTTAATTAAATTACTTGCAATATAAACGCTTTGTCAAAAACATTGCAACTTTTTTATTCATGTATCTGTGAATAGGAATACTAGTATATACAGTTATTATTCAATATGTAGGTGAAATTTATATATATTTTTTTATATCACTAAGGTAGCAAGTACCTGATAGCAAGCGCTTGCCATAGCCTATGAACATCTGCAATACAAAGAACATTACGTGTGCGTTGTCAATTGGAGAAACCTCCTTGCCCCTTTTTTGAAAGACTCCTATGTTGTAGACTCTTGAAAAAACCTCGATTTAAGATATAAATTAAAAAAATATTAAGTTGAAAAACAAAAAGGATGCTTACTATATTTGAAAGAACAGAACAATGAGCATAATGATTCATAGTTACTCTGAATGATACCTAAACAACGACATTAAAATCATAACTATTATATTATTTTAATTAATACTTTTACTACATGACAATGGGATAGTGCACAATTAAATTTTTAAAAGTCCACCTGATTTGGAGAATTTTTAATTAAATTACTTGCAATATAGAAACGTCCGTTTTTACGTTCAATGCTCCATCTTGAGGTATATGATTCTGACCAATGCCAGCCCAAAGTTTTATTCAATCCCTAAAAAGGGAGATCGCTCAGATCCAGCTAACTAGGCCCATAGCTATCACTTCCTTATTCTCGAAGGTTATGGAATCCATCATTAATTCGCACCGGCTGATCTGTGATCGCCAGTATGTACACTGCTTGGACAATTTGATATTATTGCTGACACCTGACCTTTGAAATGACAATGTACGTCTAGTACTTTACATTTGATAATTTCCCGTGAGAAATATTAGCAATCGAGGTTATGCTATTGTTTGTATAGATCAAATTTTAATTATTTATCAAAGCATATTATTTACTTCAATCCTCATAAATCACCCACTCAAGTATGTCTATTGTAAGTCATAAAATAATTTATTACTTATTAGATTAGTTTGGGATTAGATAGTACTGTGTGATATATTCCACGCACAACCATTCTTTGGAATCAACTTCCAGCAGCAGTATTTTACTTCAAGAAAAGAGTATATTCCTTTTTAGCCGGCAGCATTATTATTAGTCACTTTGAGCCGCATGCTCGTTTGCCCCCTGTGTTGTAAAAAAAAAAAAAAAAAAAAAAAAAAAATATTACATATAATTTCGAAGCATAGAATGTGGGGCCGCAGATCTATCTATCCTTATTCTATAATTAGAAATTAATGTGTGCCATAGATAAGGGATAGCTATTACGATGCAAATAAATATCATAAAGAAAGCAATCATTACAGAGTAATTAATCACTACGCTATTTAAGAGTCAACATTGCTCTTAAATTAACCAAACTAAAAATTTATCTATGCGATCAACTAGAAGTATGTATCTTTACAATAATAATTGTATTGTACAATTAGCTACTCGTATTTATAATAGATTTGTCTTTGACAAAAATACTGATATCAATAGGAACATAAAAGACAGATATTTTATGACGTAACATTTTCAAATTCAATAAACTGGCTGCATAGATTTCATATATATTTTTTTGTTTGTAGTGACGCGGGCCTGATGTAGTGTATATTTATTTACACTGGTTTAGTTGATACTGGCAATTTGTAAAAGCCCGATTTCTACAAAATTTGAATATGGAACGTTTAATTTTATTTGTTTGAATTCTTATTTTGATTAGAATTTTTCTTTAGGAGAGAAATTGGCGGGAATCTATTTTACTCTCTGATATTTTTAAAGAATCTGCTTGATAATTCTATTTTATTTATTATTAGAGAAAAAGAAAGTGTAGGCATTACGTATTTAAAATAAAAACTTCGAAAGAATCAACGTTCTTTGCGAAGAAAGAATAAATATAACATTAGAATTTTTAAATTTTTTGGACATGAACGTTATAAACATGAAGTTTTAAGAACGTAGGAAAGCCTTTAGTACCTACCCTACTCTCTTTTCTTTGCTTACTTTATACCCTTTATTTTCACCGTGTGAATATAGATTCTGGACTTTTTTTTAACGAATCCCGAAACTTTGTTAATATTGAATTAACCACGTTTTCTCTTTATCTCCAGATATTTCGTGAGCACCATACTTCAGTTCCAAATTCACCGAGTATTATGCGAAAGGACCGGCCAGTTTATCCCAGGGGATTCGACGAGGCCGCTGCACAAGTGTGACATCTACAGGAATCCCGAAGCCGGCAAAATATTAACGTAAGTATCTTATTAATATTAAAACTTGAATATCGTATTTGTCATCATTATTTTAGCCATTCTAAATCCATTGTTGAAAACAGACCTCCTTCATAGATAGTCATTGTAGGACTTTTTTTTTATACAACTTAGAATGGCAAACAAGCTGACGGCCCACCTGATGAAAAGTGGTAACTGTCGCCCATAGACATGAGCATTACCATGGACAAAACAGAGTAAACTGTTTCGCCGATGATACCCCCCATGCGTTCCCATTCCTGAGGACTCAGGTGTTATTCCTCTGTACCCAGTAAATTCACGCCATATCCCATTCTTCAAACCGAAACACAGCCATCCAAACATAGCTGCTTCACGATTGAAACACGAATGGGACAGAGGTACCCAAGCAATCGACTTTTGTACAAAGTCTCCCTCTGGTGAAGAGGATGGTGGCCGTATGATCCCGACATAGAGTAAGCCACCCCTACAGGAACGATATAGACCGTGGGTGTCGTAAGAGGTGACTAAGAGGACTTAATGTTCGACGGAAAAGCTGCAGTGTAATTCTTAAAACATCACCAAAGTTTAATTGCTGTTGCCAAACTTGCTAACTTGCCTGCCAAACTTGCTAACTTGCCTGCCAAACTTGGTAACTACTGCCAAAAGAGGGAGATCATGTTCAGCAGTGGACAGCTAACGATTGTATTCGAGGGGAAAGGGATTATTAATAATGGAGACTGAGAATCCCATTGCTAACAATATACCCAACCAGGTCATCCTCCTCGCGGTTCCCCCTGATAACAGGCCTGTTTTCATTCTCATCTATCACCCTTCACTGGTGCTCCGCTAGCGTATCCCGTTAGCGCAGGCGGGGTTACCATACCATTTTCACCCATCAAAAAAAAACAACTGTATTCTCATCATATGTGTAGGATCGTTTAGTATAAGTCTAGCAGGCGTAAATCCTCTTCCAATATCTTTAGTCGATTCTTCTCAAATCTATCGGACCATTTTTCTTTCCTGTTGACTAAGCTGGCTTCGTACCCTATAATTTCACTGCCACTGTTACGGTAATATAGTCTACATAATTGACTCTAAGACTCTGTAATAATGCAATTTTAACACAAGTGCACGTTTCTTAAAATCACACCATTGACTGCATCCAATTATGAACTTTAACATAAAGGGATAAGAATTAAAATTCAATGGGATAGAATAAAAATAAAGGAGCGTGCACAATTGTCGTCGTCTGATGTCCAGGAAATGGCCACTTGTGTTATGCGGGTGTCGCGATGGACGGCTAATGTCACTCAATGGTCGTTGCCATTCAATACGGATTAGTTTTGTAAGTAGATAAATTTTACTACACAATGCACTTATTGAATAAACTATTCCTGCTACTTCACGTAAAACATCCCACTACAAGGGGTCCTACTATGAAATTAAATTCCGAATTTTCGAACTCAATATCCTATTTTCGTTCTTACCGAAATCGATCCAGTAATTGGAGCTTAACGTTTTGTTCGTCATGAATCCTTTCTTTTCTTTCTTTTATACTAGAAGTCTAAAGAACGATATTTTAATTATTTTAAAAGTATCATGTAATTTTAATGCAACATCTATGTTTCTTGTCCGTTTTTCTCAACTGAAATTGCATTCCGAACTGGGCGGTGGATTCATAAAAAAATGACTATACAAAAATGCTTACTTTAATTAAGTTAAATAAAAAATATTTTTATTTTTTTATGTAACTACAAATTAGTGGTTCGTTCGACCCCTAAATTTAGTAAAACATTTCATGGTAGGTCCTCTAAAATCCGAATATTGTGTGTAATTTCTATTATAACAAGTTCTTGATATTTTCCTTGAAAATCAGATGTGTTATCGAAATAAAAAATAACCTATAATTGACATTGACACAAGTATTTAAATGCTTTAAGTGTTATTTTATTATTTATATTTATTATATGTAATTTGAATAAAAAAGAAATTGACGGCCCACTTGGTATGGCGCCTATGGCCATAAACAGCACCATGGTCGCCATTAAATATACATATAATGCCCATGGTGTATTCCTAATGCATTATCAGGGGGGCAAGGGCCTGTTAGTAATAGGAAGGTTAGTCCTCATTGCTATCAATATATCCTATCAGGTCGACCTCCACGCGGTTCCCCCTGGAAACCATTGTGACAAAATCATTTAATTCGGCACAATAGGCTAACTGACCTTCCTTTTCATCCTCACCAATCATCTCTCACTGGTGCCCTACCAGTGTATACCGATAGCGCAGGCGGGGTTACCATTCCATTATCATCCATTAAAAAAAATGCATTGTTATTCCCGAATCGCTATATCTCTGTACCCTATAATTTCACTGCCTTATACCTCTGATTAAACCTGTTTCTATCTCTTCTCCTTTAACCAAAGGTTATCTGTAAGAGATTACCCTAGCGATAAGACTGCCTTTTGTACCTTTATGTGTATATTACAATTTGTATTTATGTTACTGTATTTCACTTAAATTATTCACTTGTCATTGTATATTTTTTGTTTATGGTGCAATAAAGAGTTAAATAAATAAATAAATTAAACCGAAATAGCCATACAAAAATAATTGTAAAATTAATTAATTTAGCGCACACACGATTTCTGTTTTTTTTTTAATAAATGATAATGGAATGGTAACCCCGTCTGTGCTAACGGTATACGCTAGCGGGGCACTAGTGAGGAATGATAGATAAGAATGAAAAGGCAGGTCAGTTAGCCCATCGTGATGTATACACTTGGAATCCAGCACTATGGTTTCCAGAGGCAACCACGAGGAGGTCGACTTGACAAGATATATTTTTTTTTATCTATTTTATTATATTATAATACACATACATTAGCCAATTATAGATTCCCAATTTGTATACCAGACAAAATTATGTCTATTTTTGGAGGGTAGATTTAATTCAAACACAGGTTCTTTAAAACCTACCGCAAGCACCAGTCTCTCACAAAATTGGTCTTCATATCAAATTATACCTCAAGTTGTCACTTTATACTACCTTTTGTGAAGAGAAAATAAACCATTCATTCATTCAAATAAACAGAATATATATATATATATATATATATATATATTATTATATTATATTTTTATTATATATATATATTATTATATTATATTTTTATTATATTGCTAGCAATGAAATTGATAGTTCGCATTCCTAACAATCCCTTTCCCCTACGATTTCTGCGCTGTCTTTCTCTGGTAAAATATGGTTTCGATGTCTCTGTATCGGTATTTCATGTCATAGTAACATAATACTGAATGTTGCCGATATAGGTATAACGAGGCGTCAGAACACGTCGTGCGGGAAATGACGCGTTCACGGCAACGCAACTGTGGACGCCGATAGCCGCTGGCTCTGCCGATATTGTTACACTTACATAATATCACTTTATTGCATTACACATTGGCGTTTTTAAACGCATAAAAAAAACCTTTGAATCGAAAGTTTTATTTTGACATAATACGTAAGTGACATCTACACTAATATTATAAAGAGGGAAGATTTGTATTTTTGTGTATATGTTTGTTTGTAATGAATAAACTCAAAAACTATGTGGCCGATTTTAAAAATTCTATCACCATTAGAAAGCTACATTCACCCTGAGTAACATAGGCTATGTTTATTGCTAGAAAAGATTAGGGATCCTTACTAAAACTTTAGTAACGTATCTTGAGTTACGTAAAAAAAATGCTATAAAATATCTTTATCTAATATAGAACAAAAGTATGTTCTACAATATTGAAGAAAACATGAATAACTACAAAAAACTTCACGATACTATATATCCAACTATTATCGTTATGTCACAATAATCACTTTTTAGAATGTTGTAAAAATGTCCACCCGTGTGAAGCCGGAACGGGCCGCTAGTGTATAATAATTCACTTCGACATTGTAAATGTAAAAATGTTAATAATTAATCTTAACTACTGAACGTCCAGTGGTCAAAATTCGACCATAACGTATATTGTAATAAATGAATTTGTTATGGTTATGTTTGACATTCAGTAAAACTATAGACAAATAATATTAAAGTCAAACAATATTAATCTATTCTCAATTTGACTACAGACTTTAACAATAAATAAAAGAGTATATATGCGTGTGTGTGTCAAATACATGGTAGTCGAGGGGGGAAAGGGATTGTTAGTAATGGAGACTAAGAATCCCATTGCTAGCAATATACCCAGACAGGTCGACCTCCTCGCGGTTCCCCCTGGAAACTATCATGGTTAATTCCTGATGAATTCATCATGATGGGCTAACTGGCCTGTTTTCATTCTCATCTATCACCCTTCACTGGTGCTCCGCCAGCGTATCCCGTTAGCGCAGGCGGGGTCACCATACCATTTTCACCCATCAAAAAAAAAAAAAAATACATGGTAGTGTGTGTAATTTTTTTTTTATTGAATTAATGTATTTTTTATGCATTATTTAAAAAAATAATTATCAATCTGCACTGCAATATATATCTATAAGTCTGCTCCTATAACTATAATTGTGCCAAATTTCATACTCCTTCGCCCGCGCAATTTTCGTCAAAAGAGGTAAGAAGTTTTTGCGCAAAGTTTAACATTGTTTCTTACATTAGGCTAAGCCTACCCTGTAAAAAACAAAAATCGTATTGCTTCTTACATTCCTACAGAAATTTACATTGGTTTTACGTATTCATTTATATAAAGCGGTTATTTTTACAATAAGATTTCACGACTAATAAATTTATTAGTATTTATACAAGCTGTAGTACGTGTATAAGTAAGTGTGTGCGTGTGCGTGTGAGTGTGCGTGTGTGTATGTGCGTATATGTGTATTTAAGTGCAACACCAAAATTTCCCAATTCGTTCTCTTATATTTTATACTATTATACACAATTTTATATGAAGCAATAAAGTCCTATTTTTTCCTTTTAAGTGCTTACTACTATTTGAAATTAATTTGAACTGTAGGAGATTCGATAAAA